AAACCCCCCCCCCCCCCCCCCCCCACCACCAACAAATCAAGATAGTTTCTTCCAACTAGATCCCCCTATAAACCCGTACTTCTAAATGGCAATAATCACTGAGCTCCAAACTGAATATAGAGCTTTCGCAGAATAACCGCAATGACAAGAACTAATTATAAAAAGATACCCTTCTGATTCCCATAAAAAATTAACAAACCATAAACTAAATTTCAGGATATGTACGCATTCCTAATTCGAGTTATGTAAAAATGTCAATGACCTAAAACTTTATCTAGCAACTACTTGGGGAAAAAATCCAAAAAATCAAAGCAACAATAGATCTTGGTTTGTACAAACTTAAATTACAAAATCAAGCTAATTTATTTGTAGTCCTACTCCATTACATTTTTAAGACGACTTACTGTAGATACCCGTGTATATCATCTGTGTATATATCCATACCTACCTTTCTTTGCGCTCTTGGATGTTTTTCATCTGATTCTTGTAGTGATTCTCGATGTACTGTTTAGCCGCAGCAACTTTCTCCATTGTTGAGCTAGACCCCAGCACCTCTTCGCTGGCGTTGCCACTCCGTTCCTCCATTCCACCTCGCTCTCTCTCTCTCTCTCTCTCCAGATTTTCGCTCGAATTATATTCCCTCTCTTTGTATGTATTATGTATGTATATATCTATACGTGTTCACTGCACGAACTAGGACGAGATGGGAAAACTTGAGGAATTCACTTGACGTGGACCAATCCTGTACGGTACCCCTACCTGAAATTTTTGCAATTACGTAGCTAGAAATAGTTGTACTTGAAGACTTTAGAAGGCACACTAATCGAAAATTCATAAGTAGGATTAAGCCCTCTTTGATCCCCATTATCTGAAAATGGAAATGGGGGAAATAATATTTTTTAGAAAAATAAATGATTAAAAAAAAAGAAATATTTTCGATTTACGTGTAATATTATTTTATGGACGATTGTGTGGTTGAAAATAGGAGAGAGAAAAATGAAATGTAATGTAATTGAATTTAATGTTGATCAAACAGGGGCTAGGTATCACACATTTTTGTCTAGTAGTGCTTTTTAGGGGTTGTCTAGTAGTGCTTTTTTTTTTTTTTGGAGCAATTATCAGACCGTTACTCACTGGCATATGAGACTCATATTGACAGCAATGTTTGAAGATCTATCAGTGAAACACCTAAATTGCCTATTTATCATAAACAATGATTTAACTATTTGGAGCAAAATGGTCATTCTATCATAAATTGGTCCAACATTGCGGCTACCATCTCCGATTTCTTGCCATAAATGCATGTCAAATTAAAAAGCAATGGTCACAATTTTTCTACAAATTAAAATGATAATTTCTACCAGACAAGCGCTTAAAATCAAGAAAACAAGTTTTAAATTTCAAAAAGTAGATTTTTATTAAAATTCATTATGATTTAATTTATTTATTTATTAATTAAATATATTTAGGTCACATATCTATAAAATTTAATGACAAATAAAGATTTAGTTAGTCGTTTATTATTTTTCCGTCATAAATAAGAAATTTTATGCCACAAATTATTTTACGGTCACAATATAAAAATTTTATAGGTCACATTTGTTCATCAATCACAAATCTAAAATTTTATAAGTCACGATCTATTTTTGATCACAAATTACGAATATTATAAGTCACAACTTATTATACAGTCACAAATTATCAATCACATATTAACATATTTTTAAGTCAAGATCACAATTTATATTGTTTATTGGTCACAAATTAACTAAGTTAATGGTTACAATCAACCGAATAATTTGTGACCAACACTCGCAACCACAACCACCAACTCGACCACGACCACCACTGCCATCTCCACTGCTCCAGGCAGCACCTCCATTTGCACCACCAACAAAAACGATCCCAAACCACCAACTACGCCTAGCACAAAGGAAACCCATCACCAATGCACCCAAATTGGAGAAATAAACCACATCGGAAAGCCCATCACCACCATACCTAGATTGGAAGAAACCACCTCAGAAACCTCAAAACTGTCACCACTGCACCCTGTTCTCCACCCACCCTACAACACCACTGCAAAAATCATCACCATCATCACATATTCCAAAACTCCAACCAAGCAGGTTGGAGGAAGAACCACCTCAAAACCATCACTGTGTGCCACCCCATCTCCACTCACCGCACCACCACCACCACTAGCTTTAGTGTACGAACCACATTACACACATCACCACTGCACAAATCCTTACCGACCAGCACCTCTATCCACAGAGACGCAATAGAGGCGCGACGCCAACTTCGCCCACAGAGACGCAACAAATTTTGAATAGATACCCACGGTGATATGAAAAAGGGAATACTGGTGGTCGCTGCTTCAGATGTCGTCGCATCAAATGATGCCATTTCAATCACCACTTCAGATTGTGATGGTGGTGTTCGCTAGTGTTGGTCGTGGTGGCGACGACAGTGGCGAGAGAGAGGATATGTAGAGAGAGAACAAGGTTTGAGGGAAATGAGATGGGGTGGAGGGGAGGGTAGATTTATAAATTAATTTAATTTAATAATATATTTATCTAGTAATAATATATTAAGTAATAAAACATCTGATTTTCGAATTCTAAATTCTAACAATGGGAACTAGTTTACAAATTTAAACCGGGCAGGTCGACCAAAGTCAATTGTGGGTCCGCTATAGACATCAGGCCCACTCCACTTGGCAACTAGCATTTTTAATTGAAAAAATTACCTCTTACCCTACATTTTTAATCTGCGTTCTAAAAACGTAACGTATGATTAGACGGAATGTGAAACTTCAAGCTTTACAAGCTTAAGCAAGATTGAGTGAAGTTTAGTTGTAAAAATGTGTTTTCTTATTTTTAATGTTATTTTAAATTTTTAATCATTTTAAAAATTATTTAATAAATTAAAATAATACATATCAAACATCTAAATTATGAAATACTATATTTACTTAATAATTTCTACCATTACCAAACTATAAAATTTTCAAGTTTTGAAAATGCAAAAATTGGAATATTTTTCATAGTTTCGATTTTCAACTAGACAAATACTACTTAATAGATTTATGGAAACTTCATACATGCTTTTGGAGTTTGCAACAAAATACTCAAAATCATAATAAGATAATGTAGATAGCACCATGGCTTAAATCTTATATAATTGTTTAGATAAAATAATTTTTTACTTCTGTATAGATAAAATCTTTTAAAAACTTGAAATTAAAGTCAAATGAAAAGTTTTTTTTAAAAAATAAAAGGTTTAATAGCTAAAGTCAAATAAAAGACTTTAAAAAAAAAACACTAATAAAGAATGTTTAGGGAAGACAGGAGAAAAATTCAGTAGTTTAGGAATTGGGAAAAAAAGTTTAGACGGGAAGCGAGGCATTTGCCAGATATTCGAGCCTAGGTAGCGCCTAGATGTCATTTAGACAAAATTTTTAGAACACTGCTTTTAAGTTACCATTCAAAAATCAGGTATAAAAAATATTATCAGAATATCTACTACCCAAGAACGACACTTCTTCCACCATAAGAAAACCCTCGGTCATTAATAAACTCAAGACCTTTATCTTGCCCTTTCTTTGTCAACCATGAAGACTCGTCAAAAACACTCCTCTCACCCTTTCTCTATACCTTCATCTTCAAAAATTTTCAATCAACACACTGCAAAGTCTAAACTCAAGCCTGAACCTGTGATAGTCTTGAAAGGCCTTGTTGAATCTGCAGATTCGACTAACCTGGATTCTAAAAGCATCGAAAAACCCTTTGAGAATGTTGGAATTATGACTATTGAGAATGTTGATGTTGTAGTCTGACTTGGTTCGATGGATCTGGGGATGGCTTCAAGAGAAAGTAAGGATGAGGACATTGCGATGACACTACAGTTGGAACGGTTTGGCGGTTCTAGATTCGGTAGTCCGACGATGGCTATAGGTTTGGCTACTATGAGGTGGTGCTGCTTAATCTCCACCAATCTCTTAGTGGAGAATTGGAAAAGTGTGAGGGAGGTGGCTGTGGACGAAAATGAAGAGGAGCGACAGAATGGTGGTGGCACTACTGTTAAGGCAATGCAGCAGATGAATATATACCTATTTTTTGAAGGAAATTGGAGAAAGTTACGTGGCATCGATGGAGACCATTCGGGGACAGTAGTGTTGGTCTGGATACGATTGGGGAAGGGAAAGGAGAGGATAAGGAGGAGGAGAAGGAGGTTCGGAATCTATGCACTCACTGGGGAAGGACGATAATTTAGGTGGTAGAGATGGTGGTTGATTGAGGTGGAGGTGGCGGAGACAATGGTTAAGTGGGGTTGGATGGGACGAAAATTTATTGTAAACCAGTTAATTGTAATTTGACTCTAAAAACAATTTTATGATGTGTAATTTTATGACTATATATGTTATTGTGACCCATAAATTGTTTATTTATGTAACTGTTGTCTGTTTTAGGTCGCAACATCTTATCAGATATCTTGATTTTTCAAAAAATTTCACAAATTTGTTCTTTTTCAAATTGTGCTTTGAAACATTTATAGTTATGATTTTACCTTTTGTTTTTCTTTTGTAGGGCTATTTGGTCATTTACAAGGGTTTAATTTTTCAGACCCCTTCGGACTAGTCAAGTTTGGTTCTTTTTCATAACATTCGTACATGTCTTTATTATGTAGAGATTATATAAAATTCATTTTCATTCATACATTTTTCTAATTAAATAATTTTAGTCTCACATTCTAAACAAAATCACTTACAAAATCTATTATCAGAAAAACTACATCAAATATACTCAAAAAAATTAATTCTATTGGAAGATAAAAACTAATATATTTATTAAACCATTTTCATCTATTACAAGCTCTTTCTATAGTCAAGTAATCAACTTGTGTCAACCCTAATGCATCTATTTTGCTTGCAATTGATTTAGTAGAGATACAAACTACTAAGTATTGTTATCAACTAATAGTAACTGAGAAGAATTACTAGCACTAAATCGAATTATTACTAATATATTTTTAATTTACATCTTTTTGTGTCTTTCTATTGCGTATAGGTCAAGTCACCTTTTTGCCAAACGTCAAAAAATAACTTGTATTACCATCTAATATTAAACACGATCCTCAATTCGATAACCTTAACACATACAAGACTCCTTCCTATGAACATCAATGCCAAAATAGTTCAGATAGTGTTACTACATCAAGTTACCGATTGTACTCCAATACAATCCCATAAATTTCGTTATTTTCCTAGTCTAGTTATGAATGTCAGCATCATTTAATTGTCTCTAACGACCTAAAACGTATTAAAATTAATTTCTTAACCCTTAGAGATGATTAGTGCATAAAAACTATGCAAACTACCAAATTAGATAGAATTTGTTTTTGAGTTTTAGTTGCTGCTATATCATGTTTCATCCATTTTTCACACCCTTAATCGCATTCATTCCTTTTAAAATTTTACCACGCTTATATAACATATATGTGCAGGTAAATTTGTTATTAGTTCATCTCAAATAATCGACTTACAACCTGAAAATTAATCCTTTTTACCGAACACCAAATAAAGAATTTTATTATGGCTGTTTTGACTTTCACTTGGAGTAACATACCACAACTCGAGTTCTAGCCTATTAAAGGTCATTTATATACTTTTTAGTCATATATAAAAACATTAATATTAATAAATACAAGTTATACCTAAGGTTTTATCCAAAATCAAAGGTTTAATCGGCAAAATCTAGCAATTATGCAGTT